TTTTTTTTGTTTTTGCTTTTTGTACATTAAAATAGATTGTTTCGGATGGTTCAAATATATTTAAATTAGCAAATATGACATTATCAAGAATGAAAGGAGAAAATTTACAATCAATTTTTGATGAAACTTATGATAATTATCTTGATGATGTTTATCGTGGAAAAGAACGACCAAAAGCACAAACTGGTAAATAGAAAAAAAATAAAATAAAAAAACATATCAATAAACTTTATTATTTTTGAATTTTAAGAAAATTATTTTTATACAGCACCTGAAATACTTCGTGGTGCTGAATATTCTATTAATTCAGATTTATGGTCACTTGGATGTATTTTATATGAAATGTTTGCTGGTAAAATAGTATTTATTTTAACATATATATATATCAATATTTTAGGACGACAATTATATGATGAAAAAAATGCAAATAAATTAACACAAAAAATTCTTAATGATCGTTTTGTTTTACCAATGGCAAGAGGCTCAGCAAAACCATCAATTGAATTTGCTAGTTTATTACAAGGTTTATTGATTAAAGAACCAGGAAAAAGGTATAATGAATATTGTTTATTGAGCTGAAAAAAAAAATAGATAAATCGATTTAATATTCTTATAAAACATAAATTTATAATGATTGTAAAAATAGAACAATACCTCAAATTCAGATTTTTATGTTTACGAGGGAACATTCCCAGGTGTCCGAGTGCTTTGTATCCGGAGTTTCGCGCATCTTGTAGTCCATAGTGAACTGTATCTATGTTAAAAAGGTTCTGGTTTCTGGTTTGTTTTGGGAGAGATATCGAGCTCCTAGTAAATTTTCTTTAGAGTACGCCTACATTGGCAGCAAAGCTATACTTTCCGATTTTGACCTGAAACTTTGCCTGCATAAAGGTCTCAACTAGACTAGCTTCCATAAAAAATGTCAGGAGTTTTGAATAAATCTCTCTAAGATACGAAGCTTTGAAAAACTATATATATGGGGGTGACAAATTTGACTGATACCCCGTTTTGATACAGTTCTATTGTAAGGATAAAACCTACTATTGTCCGGGCCATATAAGAGAGGATCCTACATAACCCTGGATTGGCCCGAACAACACCATGTTTTATCCTTACAATAGTAGAGAAACGCTACCAGACCCCACGATAAGGCTGGTAGCGTTTCTCTACTATTGTAAGGATAAAACATGGTGTTGTTCGGGCCAATCCAAGGTTATGTAGGATCCTCTCTTATATGGCTCGGATAATAGTAGGTTTTATCCTTACAATAGGACTGTATCAAAACGGGGTATCAGTCAAATTTGTCACCCCATATTATTTATGAAAAAAGGAACTATATCTTGATAGTTATATATCTTAGAGAGACTTTCTTCAAAACTCCTGAATTTTTTATGCAAGCTAGTCTAGTTGAGGCCTTTATGCAGACAAAGTTTCAGATCAAAATCGGAAAGTATAGCTTTGCTGCCAATGCAGGCGTACTCTAAAGAAAATTCACTAGGAGCTCGATATCTCCCACAAAACAAGCCAGAAATCAGAACTTTTTTTTACCATAGATACAGTTCACTATGGACTACAAGATGCGCGAAACTCCGAATAAAAAGCACTCGGACACCTGGGAATGTTTCCTCGTTAGTTAGCCATTATAAAGATAGACAATTCTAATTTAATTAACTTTAATAGATTTCAAGATTAATTAATAGAATTTTTAATAATTGAAATCTATTTTAGACTCGATTGGCCAGGTATATTAACCCATCCATTTTGGTCTGGTCAATTAAGTCATCTTGTTCGACCACAAACAGGTACAACAAAGAAAAGTATCAATCAAAATGAAACACACGGTATATTAAAAAAAAAATTTTATCACAAAAAAAAAA